TTGTGCCCAAATACACGAGTGGATGAGGAAGATAGATAGATAGATGATAGATAGATAGATAGATAGATAGATAGATAGATAGATAGATAGATAGATGATAGATAGATAGATGATAGATAGATAGATAGATAGATAGATAGATAGATAGATAGATAGATAGATAGGATAGATACACACAAAAAGGAATGCTACTTAACTATCAAAAAAGATAAACTCTTGCTATTTGCATCAACATGAATGGAGCTGGAGGGGATTATGCTAAGCAAAATAAGTCAGAAGGAGAAAGACTAGATGATGTCACTTATATGCGGAACAAAGAGAAACCCCCCAAAAATCAGATAAAGCCAAACTAAGAACTAACCATAGAAAGCTGACTACAGAACAGAAGCTACCAGAAGGGTTTGGGGGAGAAAGCGTGAGAGTAAGATGGGGAGGGAGCATAGTAGACAGTGGTGGAGGACTATGGTGTCTTGCCAGTGGGTACAGTGTGGTAATGACACCTGAGTGGGGAGAGCCTATACTTCTAATACACAGACAATTATATAAACCAATGTTACCTCAGTTTAAAGAAAAAGGGGGAGGGAGAGGAGACTGACACACACTAAGGATTGAATGTTAGTTGCCGTTGTAATCACATGCAAAACAGGTTTTGTCATGGAAAAAGCAGCTGACATACATGATCCACATTTTCTCTATAACAAATTGTCTTAAAGGACTCACTGGCAGAAAATATTTGGGAAGGCCTCTCCATTAAAGGATTGCAGTCCCCCGTTGAAAAATTTAGTAATTGGACTATTCACCAAGTTCCCTTCTATTTGCAAACTTAAGATTCAACAATAAGTGTATTAAAGCACTTATACCACTAATGTTGCCTGAAACTTTTTCTGAGAAGAGAAAAAGAAACTGACCAGCATCAAAACCAAGTGACTCAAGTGTTTCAGTTGCATCTGATGATTCCTGAGGACAGAATTATCACTTGAACAACCTCTCCCCTTATCAGTAAGACTAACTGTAAACAAGCCCACTGTCACACATGCAGAATTTGCACTTTCTTACCTATTGACTCTGTCTCTTTAAATATCATGCTACTATATCAGAAGTTTTACCTCTAGTCAAAAGTCAATTAAATGATTAAGTGCGATGATTCAGAACATTATATATAAACACTGACTCATGAATCATTTGCCCTGGAGCATCCATCCCTAGAGAACTTGGAGTCACTTCATAAACATTTTCCAGTATTTTTGTGGGATAACTAAAGATACTGGAACTCACCCCCTCAGGTGAGAAAGCTCAAGAGCATAAACCTGGAGCATTCTTGCTTCGTAGTCCTAAAGGGAATAAATGTTTCTTCACACAGGAGACTCAGTTTCACCATGACACCTCCCAACAGCAGGTTAAAGTAGAGATTGAGTAAATACTATGAATGGGGAAATAGAGAGCATTGGGAGGAGGGTGTGAGCAAAAGCAGATGAGGTAGAAGTTGAGGAATAATGGGATGGTGTCAGCTCATAGGAGAAATTTCCCCTACCCTTTTGGATTATTCTCAGGTTGGACAAGCAAACAAATTACACCATACAGATTAATTGGGGGGGAGGGACCAAATTTAATTGTAAATGTATTGAGAATTTATAAGACTGTAATTCTAAAGTAAATACAACAAATCACGGGTTTATATCCTGAGCTGAGGAATGGGGTTGAAATCTGTGGTCGAGAGAAAGAAAAAAGAGTGACTCCTCTTGAGAACACCTTGCCTCTAGATGTTTGCCCTGCCCTCAGATAGGTTTTTATTAAAAAAAGAAAGGTTATTTCTGGAAATAACCCTGAATCTTGGCAATCTAGGGTCATAGTAAAAGTTCTCCTGAGGTCCATAGGGCCTTTATTGACCTTAGTTCTGCAGACCAAGGTTACACTTACTGGAAAAAACCCACTCTGGACAACTTACAGAAAGCCTATCTAAACATTTTTGGGAGGTCAGTCCTACCATGGATGGAAAGCCCTACCATGGATGCTACATTTGTAGCAATGGTGGAAAATAAGTCAAGCCAAGGAGATTGGTGCTTTTTACTAGAAAGCATGCGCGTTACCCTCACCTCATCCAAAAGCCTGTCTTTTTGAATTGAAATGTAGAGCCCCTGCTATGTTTGAGGAAAAAAGTCTTGGAAATTGACTTCAAAGAGATGTTTTAAACTAAGGGTCGATAGAGTTGGACTAGCTGGCATGAATTGAGCACATCATTGAATTTCCTGATGCTAAGACATTCATTGTAGACCAACACAGTGTTACTAGTCTTGTGGAGTATATGTGAAAACCAGCAAACCTGTTTGAACAATGAGAACATGACTCAGTCCAAACAAAGCAAAGAGATGAATTAATGTGTAGGCATGTCTTTTTCTAGAACCAGATGCTGTGGCTCAGAGGGATTACCTTCACTTTTTAAGGTGTTTTCCTGGAGTAGTTCCATTCTCAAAAAGCTTACCTTTCCTGACAGCTGCCAATAACACATAGGGATTCATTCTTTTTAGTCTATGTCCATGCTAAGTAAACTGGGTGTCAGTTACCCCAAGAGAAGAGTTTTCATTCACAGAATCCAATCCATTCCTTCATGTCATCATGTGGGATGATAACCAACGTATGAGCCAGTCACATAGGAAATCAGGTTAATTTAATGCCTACTGCCGTTTGTTTCCCCTAAAATATGCTGCCCCTACTTTATGTATGTTAAATTAGCTCCATGCATATTGCATATACAATTTATATTCATAACCTGCTACAGTTTCATATGTTTTTCTAGTATTAGAGGAAATAATTGACATATGATATTGTGTTAGATTAAGTTTACAATATAATGACCAATGCATTATATAAGGCAAAGATAAGTTACATCCGTCACCTCACATATTAAAATTATTTTTCTTTTGTAGAAAACTTCTAACATTTAATCTGTTAGCACCATAAAAATATAAAATACAGTATGATTAACTCTAATTTCATGCTGTACGTTATTTCCACAGAAATCATTTCTCTCATATCTTGGAAGTGTGTACGTTTTAACCACTTTCTGCTTTCTTCCCCTTCTCCACCCTACTATCACTGGCTGTTTCTGTTAATCATGATTTGTGCTGTTACTGGACTGTTGTTTTGTTTTGTTTTTTTTTTTAATTCTACACCTAAATGAGATCTTCCAGTATTGGTCTTTATCTCACCTATATCATTAAGCATAATGTCCTCAAGGTCCATCCATGTTAATCTAATACTAGACTTGGCTTTTATTATAACTCATTAGTATTCCACTGTGTATGTGTGTACCACTATCACCTTCTTTATCCATTCATCCTTTGATGAACACACTTAAATTATTTCATGTCATGGCATATATAACTACCTCTGTCAGTGTCTCATTCCTGAAAGTGACAAGCATACACAATACTCAAAGTAGCACGAAATCAGGTGGTAACATGACTTGTAGACTGCATCTTGACCATCAGGCTAACTATGTAGACTCTCTCCTTTTTGTTAGGAGAAGGAGGGCAGAAATAATATTGCAGTGGTTTCACCCACTGGGGACAAAATTTCTTTTTGTGAAATCTGATCAGTTTTGCATTTCCACTTTTCATTTTTACCAGAGGCAATATGAAATAAAACATTGTTTTTCCCAACATTTGAATAACAATAAAAATAGTATATAACTCCTTTGTTACCACAACAGGAACATAAACTAAGGACATTAAGCATTTTGTGATATAGATTCAATAAAAGAGCCCTCTTCAACTTACTAATAAAAAGTTAAAATAGAAAATAAGGATTATGTTACAAGTGTGGCAAGATGAGAAATTATTTGGGGAAGATCACACAGCTACACTGTGACTCAGAGAACATAAACCACATATACAAATAGTTAACAACTGAGTTATAAAAATTAATAAATCATCTCTGTTTATAAACAAAATATCGGTAGGCATTTTGCACCTACAAATGGAAATATGACAAAAGTCTCTAAAAACAGAGTTCTGTAAATGCAAAATACGATTCTATCAACTGAGATGTCAGGGGAAATCTCATGTAGTTCTCTAGTAATGAGTATTGCATAAATATATGAAAAATACCAGAGAAGTATTGTTTGGAAAAATAATCTGTATGAGCCCATGAAGTGGAATCAGTTTGGTGTCCCCAAAATAACTGCCCTTTGTTTACAAATTCATGGAATAGATTTTCATTCCACAAATAAATAAATATCTATTGTTTGTCTCCTGGAGTCTACCCTGCTAGTGAATAAGAGTAGAACTTAAGGTCCTCCCTGGCGCAAGGGACGGGACACAATCTATGAAGCTATCCACAGCCTCTGAAGCACGAGTTCGATCTCCCACCAGGGAGATACCCACATGGTGCAGCAGACCTCTACTGACGCGCCACTGCTCCCCTCAGCAGTGTATTTCAGTCAATACACCTGTTCTGCTCCCCACTCTCTCTCTGCTAAATCCTCTCACCCCTCCCCCACACCACTGCCCTGTACCCCAGTTCTTGTATGCATAAATAAATAAATATTTTTAAAAATTCATCTTATTAAAAAAAAGAATAGAACTTAAGATCAGTCTGAAGAAGTTAATATGATTATGAAAAGCAATTCTGTAGGACCTAATATTTCTCATTCCATCAGTCCTACATGATGCATTCAAATATCACACAGAAATAAAACATCAGTACATATAAAAATAGGTGTTTATTAAGCTTTATCTACAATTTTTACATTCTCCAGTAATGACCAGGTAAAACACATTAGAGGAGGTAAATAAATTGTTCTATTATATTTTAAAAATATTGATTTACAATAAATTAATGAAAACAAACACTATCAAAGAGATAAATTTATAATATATTATTGAACATAGAAAAATCAAAAAATCAAATATATTCTTATCAGAAAAGGCAAATGATTGGTCATGTATTAAACTTAGCAGATTTCCATGGGTAATGTCCAAATACAGATAACTTCTCAGCTATCAGAATGTGTGTAAATTCACTCTTCTTTGCCATAATTTTATCAAAGCTCTTTTCATCTCACTGTTTCGCAAGCTGTAGATCAGTGGATTCAGCAGAGGTGTGAGTAACGTGTAAGCCAATGACATCACTTTCTTGGTGTCTGGGGAGTAGCCAGATTTGGGCTGTAAATAGGTCATACTAGCTGTGCCATAGAAAAGGGTGACAGAAGTCAGATGGGAGGCACAGGTGGAAAAGGCCTTCTGCCTCCCAGTGTTGGATGGCATCTTCAGGATGGCAAAGAGAATTCGAATGTAAGACAAGAGGATCAACAGGAAAGGGACCATAACAATCAAAATGGTGCCAATGAAAGCATAGACTTCAAAAAAAAAGGTGTTTGCACATGCAAGCTTTAGCACTGGGGGAGTCTCACAGAAGAGATGATTAATTTCATTGGGGCCACAAAAGGGAAAACTAAATACCCACGTGGTCTGCACAGTAGCCACCATGACGCCTGAGGCCCATGAGAATGTTACTAATTTCATGAAAACGTTTTTGTTCATAATCACTGAGTAGTTCAGAGGATGGCAGATGGCAGCGTATCTATCATAAGCCATTGCCCCCAGGAGAAAACATTCAGTCCCACCAAAAAGAAGAATGAAATACATTTGTGCAAAACAGCCTGCAAAAGGAACTGTGGCTCTTGCAGTGGAGAGGACCACCAGCATCTCAGGCATAATGGCAGTACTGAAACTCACCTCCACCATGGACAAGTTCAGGAGAAATAGGTACATGGGGACATAGAGGCTCTGTTCCAGGGAGATGATGACTATAATGATGGCATTTCCCACCAGAATCACCAGGTAAACAACCAGGAAAACCCTAAAGAGTTGTCCTTGCAGTTCAGGATAGTTAGAAAAGCCCAGGAGGATGAATTCAACCACAGAGCTCTGATTCAGCCTTTTCATTTCAGCAGAGATGTATTGTTTCTGTGGCCGTTGTACCTAATTAAGGAAGTCACAGTCCTATAGCTGAGGGCTTCAATCTGAAGTTCTTGACAGAAGATGCAATGAGACCACATTGTGATGGATCTTCAAGTAGGCAGTTTTGAGAATGGTCAATATGTTGGAACAGTGAATCTTTCAAATACAAACGAAAAAGTGAAGAATTCTGACTAGCACCTTCTTTTATTTTTTTAATTTCTATATGCATATATTTTACATCATAGCACCTTTTTTCAAAAGTATAAAACAATAGCAGTATTCTCTGGCAACGTTTACTGCTAGCTTGAAAATGAATTCTACTCTTACACCATTCATAGGCATTTAATTATTTAGACTCCATTCTCTATTACATTGATGTATGTATCTCTGTTGTTTCGAGTTGTATATGTACATGATTTTTCAAATGAAATGTTGTAAATAAACAGCAAAATAAATCTGGAAAAAATTATAACTAATAAATTTAAAGCAAAAATTTTGATAAACATTTGTTAAAATACCAAAGTCAAAATAGTTTTATATTTCTTTTGTTTAAAATGAAATGTAACAGAAGGACACAAAACAAATACAGAAACATTTAAAGGGGGTGTATTTTGCATGTACTTATCTCAGATCAGCATAAGTAAATAGCTTCAAGCTTATTGATGTGCTCATAGGTTCTCCAACTAATTATACTAGAATTTACCTTGATGGGAAACTTTAGAGATGAGTTTTTCCTGCCCTATCCTTGTCACCATAAAATGAATTTAGGGCTATAGAAAATATCATTTTGGTTCTTCCACTCCCTCTCTCTTTGCCTCTCCCTTTCTGAATCACATTTATTCACACCCTCGCCCCAGACTCACATTAAGAGTGCATTTAAATATTAATCACATTTAATGTTTTAATTAGTCATTCAATATATACTAATTTAGTATCTACAAAATGGGTGCCTATGTACCCTAGATGTATTAATCAAACCATAACCTCAACAAACATCCCATGACCATGACCACAATGATAAAATAATAAACATTTATCCTTACCCCAGCTCTCCCTGACTCACGTCACCCATGTTTATATTTTACCATTACAATCAGCAGCAAATTAAATAGCACATAATTATTTAGGTGCTATTTAGGTTAATTATTTATGCTAATTAACTAACTCTCCCTTCTGAATGCAGCTTCAGGGGCCAGGATATTTTTTTATGTTGACTACAGATCATAAACAGCATAATAATATTCACTGAAAACCTAGAGGAATGAATTTCAAAATTAGGAATTTAGAGTCTGAGGGAATAAAAAATCAAAACCAAGAGAAGGAACAGCACCAAAATTAATCCACGCTTTGGTAGAAGTTTGAGACCCTGAAAGCACTGGAAATAGCACTGATCTGGGGAGTTGGGTCCAGGCCTGACTCTGCCATGACCTTAATTGAGTACCTGCCTCCCCCTGGTCCCCCTGCACTCTGTTCCACTGGTTGGTGGAGCAAGAAAATAACACCAGATCCTTCAGGCTCTGGCATGTTCTTAGAAAACTGTGGGTTGCTGGGCTTGCCTTCAATGCAGATGATCGCCAGAGGAAGTAGGTGGAATAGTGGTGGGTATCACCAGGAGGTTCACATTGTGCCCAAGTCCTTTGAGACCACCAGCCCCTACACAGCTGACCTCTCCCTCCAGTTCAGCTGCTCTTCCCAAGAGCCCTCTGGGCCAAGCACTTCACTTCTCCTCCATTCCCCTCCACACTTGCCAAGCCAACTCTATGTCCCCAGTGTTCCACCTACTGTCAGGCCCATGGAGTCCATCTGGCCTCACCCAATTCAGCCCAAGTGACGCTGCCCAGCCCACTGCCTCTATTCTTGCCCTCAACCCCCCATCACTAAATGGTCTCTTAACTGACTTCCCAAGTTTTGGACCTTATTCTCCAATCTACCCTCATAGCTCTGCAAAATAGTATTACCCCCATCCGGAGCCGTCAGATTCTCCTGTATCCTTCTCAGGATGATTTTTTTAAGAAACCAGAGTGGTAACAATTGCCTTAGGGACTCAATGAGGGAAAAATAATTTCTAAATGCAGTAGAAGAGAGAAAAAAACATAACCACAGTATATCATGAGTGTAAGGGCAAGTAAGTGGAGGGGAAAGGCTAAGGAAAGATGACTTGCTCAAATCAAAGGTCTTGGGTGATGTTTAGCATGAGTGTGGAGGCCTGCTGGCCTGGGATGCTGCTTTGAACTGGAAGATTTCACTGTGGGACACAGGGAAGACAGCAAGCAGAAGGACAAGCAAACCCAAGACTTGCCATGTTTTCTCAAGCCCAGATCATTAGGACATTGGCCTAGGGCAAAAAGGTGTTTTAATTTACTTTCACAATGTGATAGGTCAAAACAAATGTCTGTATTAACTTATTCTATTTTCAATATCAAAACATCACCAGACATTAGTAATGTGAACTCTGCAGGAAAAAAAAAAAATTAAATGCCATTTCTAATGTACAAAAGTAGAAAATTACATATTAAAACCCAAAGGACTAAAGAACAAGTAAAACTTTAAAATAAGAATAGTTAGAGTATCCTGTTAAAACAGGTATATATTAGGAGGCTGTGAAAGTTATGGAATAAAATAAACAGGGAGTAACTAAGCTTTAACAGGAACTACTGCCTTCATGAAATATTCAGAAACCAACAAATGAATCTTGTTGCACCACTTTTTCCCCTAATTCTGACCTGACTGATTCACTAGCATGTCCTGATCACTCACTATGACTTTGAGCCAATCACTTCCTCCTCTAGGGTTCAACTTCCCACATGACTGGTCTTGCTTCTGACCACCTTCCACCCAGCTGCTGTCCTCCATGAGTGGATGATAGATAGCGCAGGCAAACTACTCATTGCTCCAATGTGCTCTGACTTTTCTTTGAACGTGAAAATAAGTGTAGTTGGCATTCTTACCTGAGTCCTGAGTTCTCATCCATAGTCATCTCCAACTCTCAGTGAGAACTATAAGCGGCAACCCCACCAACAGTTCAGACGCAGGCCCTTCTGTTCTTACCTACCGCCTGCCTCTGATACTCATCCTGTTTAATCAGATGTTGCATTCCATTAGTTTAAGATTCCCTCCTAAGTACAACCCATTTCAATACACTGATACTGTAGTAGTTTATGGCATTGAATGGTTTGCCCTGGGAAAAGCCTTCTCCAAAGAACTTCTCTCAATTTATACAGGCTTCCCCATATGAACAAAAAAGATCAATTTCACTGATGTGAAGCAGCACTTGAGGTTTCTGTAGGGAATAACACCTCTTCACTCAAGAGACTCAATTCCACTATGACATCTCCCATTAAGAAATGAACGATGCATGAACATTAGTAAATAAACAAACAGAACAAAAGAGGAGGGTTTGAGCAAAGACAAATAAGCTTAGAAGGAGGGACTGTTTCTGCAATGATAGGAAACATGTTAAGACATGTATATAGACTGACACTACTTTGTGGAAAGCATGGATGCCTTACCAAAGGCTTTTATGTTTTCCACCAGGAAGATGGAAACACTGAAATTTGTGGAAGAGCAAGGTGATGTCATGCAGATAATTATGTAAGTGGGGCTTTTTAACTTGAAGACAAAACATCTGGACTAGTTGTCTGATCGAGCAGTTACATTATGTCTCTGGTTCTTTTAAAATGCTGGCGACGTTATCGATCTCACAGGAATATGTAAGAGACAAGAGGCCTTAGAGTTCAGTCTGTACCGACTTGAGCTATCTATGAAGCCACTGGCCCATGCCAGCAAATGTGAGGAGAATGAATCTTCAGGTTTTGTTTCATCAAAAATTCAGATGAGATGGACTCAGCCTAGGCTCCCTTTCTCTATTTCTCCTTTCTGCTTTCCTAGAATAAGTCCCAATCTCAAGGAAATATCCCCCTCCTAGAGGCAATAAGGCAATCAACAATAGTTAGGGTCACATCCTTTCTCATCTGTGTACAGCGAGTTACCAGTCATCTAGTGGGGAAAAAAAGGTTTTAATTCACTAAAACCCCAAGGAGGACTCCCACACCATTCACTGTAGCACCGTAACATGTGAAACTATGAACCACACATGGTGACTGTGACTGGGATGGAAATGTTGCTTCATAGGCACTTTTCATGGTCTACCCCTAACTGGAGGTGGCATCATCCTAGCCATACATGCCTGGAAAGGTTTAATAAGGAAAAAATCTTAGGGGCCTCCCTGGTGGCACAGGGGTTAAGCACTGCACTATGAATCAGTCCACAGCCTCTGTAGCACAAGTTCAATCCCCAGCCAGCCAGAGGGCAACCCACATGGCGCGGCAGACTTCTCCTGACTCACCCTCTGCTCCCCTCAGCAGTGTATTTCAGTCTGTCTGCCTGTTTTGTTCCCCACTCCGTTTCTGGTGAATCCTCTCACCCCCTGCACCTCTGGCCTGTACCCCAGTTCTTGTATGCATAAATAAATCTTAAACAAAAATCTTAGAGAAATCAAGGCATTGTTGGCAGAACACTCAAATACCTCTGTACACATGGAAAAGCATGTTTCTATTTTTTGTATTTTTATTGTAATTTGGGGTTTACATTTTTCTCCTCCATATGAATAAATGTTTTCCACCCTTCACCAAACCACCCAGGTCAATAGTCATCTACTTCCTTCTTCCCATCCTTTCTTCCCTCTTCCCTGTGGCAACCAATAAATTTTTTCACTAAGTCCAAGATTTCTTTTTTGCTGCAATTTGCCATTGTAAATTTTTTGTTTTGTTATATTCCTTAGAAAAGTGAAACCATCTGTATCTGTCCTTCACTGACTAATTTCACTCAGCATAATGACCACACAGCCCACCCATTTTGTTCCACAAGCCACTATTTCCTCTTTTCCAATAGCTATGTAGTATTCCTTTGATAATATATTCTACAGTTGCCTTATCTTTCAATAAGCATGATTATGAATCCTAGATGTAGGAATGCAAGGAAGTCAA